CTATTTGAGGCAAGGGCCATATTTTCCCACAGCCTCTAACACAATGCTTTACACATAGTAGGCACTCAATAAGGATTTGTCAAGCGTATGAATGCATAGGGTTTCCATAAAGGCATGATCCAAGGCTGTGCAGGTGGTTGTTCCTCCATTTTTATTGCCATTCGGAACTTACAGCTCCCCTAGCAACTATAACTTGTACCCCTCGAGCATATGTGGTATTTAGTATTTCTGTATGTGGTGTCAACTTTCATGTCGTAATATACTATATATGTAACTGGTTAACTTACAGTTGTTTTGGGAACCACAGGCTTTTTCCCATCTAAAATAAGCCCTTGCTAGCCATCCTAGCCTATGAAGAGGTAACATTCATCGCATGACCTTTCCATGCCTAACTCTCTCCCCCTGACCCTGGCCCCCCAATTTGGTAGACACATCCAGTTACAAACATATGTTTTAGTTATAATGACAAATCTGTGCTAAATAGCCTTTTTGCTAGTAGCACTATGACATTAATATTTCTTTTTTATATTAAAAGTTTTTTAAGCTTGTTTATTTTGGGAGAGAGCATTTGCACAAGTGGGGTAGAGAGAAGGAGAGACAGAATCCCAAGCAGGCTCTGCACCATCAGCGGGGAGCCTGATGGGGTCGAACTCAAAAACCATGAGATCGCGACCTGAGCTGAAATCGGACGCTCAACTGACTGAGCCACCCAGGCATTAATATTTCTAAAGGCCACTTTTATACTTACTATTATTTTGTCGGGGGTACTTTTATATTATATGTGTATTTTGAAAAAAGGGATCAATTCAAGAGATGGTCTGGTTATGTGAGAAGGTCCTAGAGACAATGACATAGAACAAATATGTTTTCTTCTCCTTGTGCAACCAAAGATGAAAGATAATGGCTTTGTTTGCCTAAAGTAGATACCATAACTTTTCTTTTTCTGTTCATAATCACAAAAATTTTGACAGTTTCTTGAAGCCAAGAAAAATAACTACACTTCATCTTAGTTCTTCTTGTATTTATTTATTTTATTTTGAGAGAGAGAGAGAGAAAGAGAGAGAGAGAGAGAGACAGGGAGAGTGGGGAAGGAGCAGAGAGAGAGAGGGAGAGACACAATCTTAAGGTGGCTCCATGCAGAGCATGGGCTCGACACAGGGCTCGACCTCATGACCCTGAGATCATGATCTGAGGTGAAATCAAAAGTCAGAGACTTAAGCTGTTGAGCCACCCAGGTGCTCATTAGTTCTTCTTGTAATTCAGCTTTATGAACAGAAAGCCAAGGAAAGGGGGCAGTGTGCTGGTGGGGGTGTGGTATTAAAGGAAGTCTTAATATCCTCTGATATAAGTCAAAAATGACATGTTCCATATTCTTTGTTTGAATAGACTGATAAATAAATTTACACATAAGTGTTAATATGTGAACTACCACATAGCATTTATAGTTCATTTATAGTTTAAAAGGAATTTCATGGTATTATAGTATATTAACCTTCAATATTAATGTGATGATAGAGATTTCACATTGGGTAGGTGGGAGAGATGTCTCTGGGTGAATAGTTCACTCACCCCCTCAACCCATACCACATAAAAGGCCACTTCCTCTGCCCTTATGCAATGCTTGAACTTGTTAGTGCCTGTATGGTTTGCAGACAGTTTAAAAATGACCGCTTATGGGTCTAGTAGCACTCAATTCCCGTACTGAGACAAAAGATACTAGAAAGATCATTTTGCATCACAGCCAGTTTTGGTTTTTTTCTTCTCCTTTTCTTTCTGTCTTTTTTTTTTTTTTTTTTTTTTGCATTAGGTTAGAGTTCATAATCAGAGCTGAAGACAGTTCAGTGATGATTGATTAATTAATTCATGTGATTTTTATCGGGTACTGGCTATGGGCCAGGCACTACATAACGTATGAGAGAGAATGATAACCGAGATGATTGTGGTCATCGTCCTCATCTAGATTTCTGTGTACATAAGGAAAGAAATGAAAAACCAGTGAAAAAGAAAGAAAAATACTAAACTGTAGTAACTACCAAGATGGGAATAAAAAATTTTGCTAAGATGGTGAAATATGATTGGAGGTGTAAAACCTACTTTCGATGAGGGGTTAGGGGAAGGCCGCGTTTAAGCTAAGTTCTGAAGGTTGGGTGGTCATCTTGTGGAGAACAGGGATGGCGATGGGGTAAAAAGAGATGGGGATGATGCTGATGGTAGAAATGATGGTGGAGTTGGTGGTGGTGATGTGATAATGATGACGGTGATGGAGATCATAGTGGTGATAGGGATTAGGAGCCATGATGAGGATTAAAACTACTCTATGGTAAAAACAACGGAGCTACATCAAATGTTACGCTTTGACATTTTGCCAAAGAAGACCTAGAAATAATAACAATTAGAATAATATTATATAACTTATCTAATCTTACCTTTGCCTGGGAACAACATACCCTCAAAACTATACCTAGACCAAGCAATAATTCTGCAACTTTTGTATTTTCTTTTGTAGCTGATGAATCATAGAAAACAAAACAAAACAAAACAGAGTGACTACTCTCATCCTGTTCTTCTGTAGGCAAAATCCAGGAGTTTTGACAACAGTTTCTTTCTTTTTATGTATTTATTTTTAATGTTTATTTATTTTTGAGACAGAGAGAGACAGAGCATGAACGGGGGAGGGTCAGAGAGAGGGAGACACAGAATCTGAAACGGGCTCCAGGCTCCGAGCTGTCAGCACAGAGCCCAATGCGGGGCTCAAACTCACGGGCTGTGAGATCATGACCTGAGCCGAAGTCGGATGCTTAACCGTCTGAGCCACCCAGGCACCCCGAAAACAGTTTCTTAATACCGTACTACCTTTGCCTTGAGGTCAATGATTGACAAGTATTAGGGAAAAAAATAACATTTTGGGGGCAGGAAACTAATTACTGACCTGCGGTTTTGTTAATTTATTGATTTGATCAATTTCTATAATGCACTAAGTTTATTTTTCTCTTCAGGGAGAATTTCTGAATATTTCCTGATGGTTATCTCCTCCTTCCCTGCCATATGCTCTTCCCTCTTTTCCTTCTCCTTCTTCTCCTACCAAATCATCCTTAGCATCGACATGTGAAGGTTTCATTGAGGAGCAGGTTATTAATGCTAAGTCGCATCACAAGAGATGGTGTTTTAAAATTGGCTGAGTTGCTGTTAATTATATGCACTCTTACTCATTATCTATGGCAGAGCACTTATGGAAAACCAGCACATTTTATTTATCTTTTGTTTCTGAATTTGAGATTTAAGGACATGGAAAGAATCTCAGTTATTTTGTTAACTGGAAAAAGCGAGTTATAAAACTAATTTTATACTAAGTGCTTAATTTTATATTATGAAATCTATATTATACTATGAAAACATAAGATGCATGTATACATAATTTTATATGCCTACAAAGGCCATCAAGATAATAATAAGATGTTAATCTTTTAAGAGTGGGATATTTTGAGAAAATTTTCTGTTTTTTCTTTTCCTAAATTCTGAAATTTCAGTGAAAAGGGATAGTTTAGAAATAAACTACAAACAAAACATTTACTTGTTTTGGCCCTTGGCCTGGTATTCCTAGCCATTTCGAAAATAATCAGAGATTTGGGTGAACAAACTGTGTTCTCTTTTGTTGCTTTATATTAGCATTCACATACAAAAAAGGAAAGATCTGGTGTCTTAAAAGAGGACAGTGCTTAAATATATTAAAGGTAATAGATCGTGTGACATTAAAATTACATTTTCAAAGAAATTGAATAACCATTATAATTCATCATGTTATGTGGAAAAAATTAGTTTATGTAGTAAAATAAGAATTGTGTAAAAGCAAAAATGTATGTGTGTAGGAGAAAAGACCACAAATAAATAACCATAATTTGGGCCGCGGCAATTTCTAGGTGTGGGGAATCACGTTTCTTCATTTTTCAATGACCAGGTATCCCCTTTAAAATGAAATATATAAACATTATTATATTAAAAAAAAAAAGTCAGAACAAGATGACCCAGAAAGGAATCATTCAGATGTTTTGGTGAAAATAACCCTGGAAACATGTTACTTTTTCTCTGTGTTCATCCAGTGGCTCAAGTAAACAATAGCAAATAATACCATTGAATTTCTCAGACACTGTCTAAACTCTAGAGAAATTCAAAGAAATCTCAAGCTTCAGGGTTGGACTATTGGATTGTCTAACTGGTTATAGCTTGGACGTATTATTGTTAATATGATTATTAGACACGTTACCAACTCAGTGCAATTGATCAGGAGAGTTCAAACACATCAGGAAGCCACAGGAGAGTTTCCTAAAGACTTGCTTACATACTTCCATACAAATGGAATACGAATCAGCTGTATTCACCTCAGTGCCCGGTTCAGCTGCCGGACAAACCCACTGTATGAACTGACCCAATCGCTTGGGCGTCCTTGGACCTCTGGCTTAGGGGAAGAGAACTGTGGGCTGGCAGCGCCTGGTACAGAGGAGGCCCTCAATAAATGGGTGACTGGTCAGGGGCAGCTAAACGCGTCTGATCCCGACTATATCCCATCCCATGGTTTTAACTGGAAAGTAGGCACTTTATGTGTGATATTTACATGAATGGTACCTGCCTGGGGTAAAAAGGTAAAAACGGAAGAGTAATTGTGTTAACAGTAATAACAAGATACTGAAAATCATGGCTGCCAATTATTGTGCACCTGTGTGTGCCAGGCCCCCGCAAGCCAGGCCTTCAAGATCACCAGGGGCGCCCCCCCACCCCCCAGTTGCTAGAGGACTTGTCTTTTCCTGATGGTTATAACATGGAAAGAAACACAATGGCCAGGCTCTCGGCTCACGTGATGTCTAATGCCCTTCACCGCCTCCCCCCCTGCCCCCGTCCACCTTTCCTTTTAGTCTGCACCCTGATGGTGTTCCATCTCTGTCCGAGGCAGATGAGATTCAAGGTGAGAGAAAGAACAAATCCTGTAAGGTAATTCTGTCACTCACCTCATCTTCATAATCTTCCCTGAGCTTCCTCTGCGGCTCACCCCGGTATTGATCGAGTCACAGGCTATAGCAGACCGAGGCAGGGGGCTGGAAACCTTTCCGGGCCACCCGCGCCAGTGCGCCCGTCTCAGCTCCGAGAAGAAAAGCCTGCTGTGAAAACAATCAGTGCATTCGCTTTAGATCTAAGTGATTCCAACTAGGTCGATGCTTCATGCTGATGTGTTGAAAACATTTAAAAAATTTCTCAGAGTTTGATTTCCACTGGAACATTATGGCTTGTGTCTGCAGTTGTTATTTTCCACGAATGCAGCCGACGACTGCTTCCTGCCACAGTACACAAAAGCAGTGGGGACACGGAGGCTTTTTGTCTGCGTGGAGGTTTACTGCGAATGCTTTTTGGGGAAGAGGGAGGAACACGTGCCCAGGTTTGGCTGATAAGCCGCGTGTCATCTTGACCGACGGCGGTAGGGGTTTTTGTTATTGTTTGTTTGGCTCCTGAAGTGAATGTGAGCCAGGGCTGACCAAGTACAAATGCGGGCAAATGGACAACTCCCCGGTTTGGTGTTGAGTGTTGAGATTCTTCTCTGTTTTGGCACAGACTTTTATGAGGCCACTTAACAATGACGTCAAGAGTGGCTTTCTCTTCCAAAGGATCCATTGGGTCTCTGCAAGTTTAGGTTTATATTCAAGAATAATTGGAGCTCCTCATCACGTCTTGGCATCCAGTGGAAAAGAAGCATTTACACAGATATCCTTACCCAAATTAATATTTATTCAATGTCTGGTGGGCACTTGGGACAATATTTAATGGTGGAAGGCACAATCACAGATTTTTCCACCTGAAAAATAATCTGTAAAGGACAGGAACCCTGTACCAGCATTTCTGTGGTTTCGGGGACGTGACAAGAGGTGGGAAGTCCACTTTGAAAGTGTGGGGGGTCAGGGGCATCCATAAACGTATTAAATCTGATCACGTTTCCAAATTCCTCGTCCTGGCTATTAATAACAGAGCCCAGATTTGTTAAGAACAAATCAAAACAAAACAAAAACAAAAAACAAACAAAACCCCCCACAAAAATCTACAAACCACACCTTCCTAATTACTTTTCCTTTGTTTGGAGATGCAGTCAAAGGACTGACATTAGGGCTTTTTGTTTTGTTTTGTGTTGTTTTGTTTTGTTTTGTTTCATATAGTTCCCTGGGAGATCTGTGGCTGAGTCAGAGTTAGAACTAGGTTGTTAAGTGTTCCGTCTGCCAAGTTCTATAAAAACTATGTGTGTCACTTCAGCTAAGTTTTCTTTGCAATGCCATCGTTTAAATCAAATGTTGGGGTTTTCTTCTAGGCATGAACTCTCTGGGGTTGTGTTACCCTGTTTGCTGTTTACTGTCAAGACGCTGAGAGAATGTTCTTATAATGATCCAAGAGGAAGTGGCAAATGAATGCTCTTCTTCAGGTATTTTGTTGATTTTTCAAAATGCCTGCCAATAGGAAAATTTCCACAAAACTGTCATCTGAGGGTTTGCTGTATAAATCTGGGAGAAAGCCTTATGGTGTTTTCTTTAGTGAAATGAGTGAGATCCTAAGATCCCCTTTGTGCTCTGATCTGCTGTTTCTCTCAAAGGTTGGCTTTCTTATTTGTCAGAATTGTTCCTTAATTCATTACCGTTTCCCGCCTCTGGTTAGTTCTGCGTCCGTGGGAGACATTGTGGTTTATTTCACCGAACACCTACTTTGAGTACCTGTTGTTTATACACTTGACTATTAGCTCATATTCTAAATTCAAACTGCTTATAGATGGCCCCCTTTGGAACTTTTATTTGCTATTTTTATATCTCATTTTAAAGAATAAGATCAAGAGGGTGTGGCTTTTATGAGTAAAGGTACTATAGATCTTTGGGTATTACTTTACACTTGAATTTAGATACGCATTTGTATCTGGAAAGCCCAACATGTGTTCGGGGGTTTAGGTCAGTGATACTGATAGCTTCGTTCGGGAGGAGGCGGGAAGAAAACTTCAACTGAATGTCCTCAGCCTCGAAGGTACAAAAGGCTTGTGTTTAAGGGAGACCCGGGTCAATGCTGATGGATCTGGGGGCAGAACTTGTCTGCAGCTTTCTAGTTCTTTTTCTTCTTTTTATATTAGATGTTTGCTTCTCTAAAATGGGACAACTGTTCAAAATGTCTTGGTCTATAGAGTTTTAGAGCCTGGAGATAATATAATCAAGAGAGCTTGTCATGATAATGCTATTTCACAGTGGTTCATAGCTTGAAGGAGGCAGCATTTATGTAAAACCTTGCTCCTTCTTTCCAATAACAGTGTTTGGCTAAAAACATTAAGAATGTGGCACCATTGCAGGTCAACGAGTGGGGGAAATAATTCTGATATGTCACCTCTCCAGCACCATTTCATTCGTTTGGAAAACAAACTCCTTGGGTGTGCTGTACAACTACTATTTGTACTTTAAATGTACTATCAAGAGCCCTATTTGTAAAGAATTTATGCACTTAATTTATGTACTCAGCTTGTCAAGTTACTTTGTTTCTGGATTTTCCGCCCCAGAGCAATGGGGAGCGTCCAACATGCACCGCGAGAGAAAAACTGTAGGCTTATAATAAGCCTATAGTGGCTCATGCGTGAAGCTTAGGCTACTATAGATTTTCCAGAAAATCAAATATGGATGTTGCAGAAATAACTTTTCTTGCCAGAAGAAGAGACTCATTATGGGACCATTAACTGTGGATCTCTTGGGAGTTTCCTTAAGCAATTATTTAAAAGCCAGTGTTTCCCAGCCAAACTTTTGGAGAAATATAACCTGATGCTGGCAGGTCAGCAGAGCTACTTTAAATGAACATTTCCCCACAGGAAGTTATTTCAGATGGGCCAGTGGAAATGGCAGGTGGCACTGAGTTCTCTTTCAGCTAATTGGGAAAGCATGTTTTCACAAGGGTAGATGCTTTAAGGTGAGCATACTGAAAAAAAATGGATAAAATTAGTTTTCCAGAAATAATAAATTTTAGACATCGTTCAGCAATTTTTAATATAAAAAAACCCTTCTGTGCCTTGGGTAATGTGAAGATGGCATTATTGAGGAGTTGTATTATGACACGTTAATGCATAAGGCAAGTCTTAATTCGTCTGATGAATCCCATTAAACTACTGTGTATGGAATCTTGTGGATTCAGAGGAAGCTGAATTGTAGAGTTGTCATGCTTTGTCAATTTATTTTTATTCTTTTGCAGCCCTCTATCTGGTCACTATTGCTTTCGTCCTCGAAAGGAAACTGCAGGGTTTTGTTTTTGTTTTCTGGACTTCCTCTGAACTTTGAGGATCATGTAGAGCACCATCTCACAAATGTTGGAGAGCTCTTTTTCACAAAAGGCAATAAAAATATATCCCTGGTTTAATAAATGGTGGGCCCTGCCTCATTCTTAGTTTCCGATTGACAAGAGGCTGAATTATTTCCATAAAGCTATTGCTTCCTTCTGTCTAGTGCTTTTTTTTTCGTTAGTGGGGTTCAAGAGCCTTTTGGCAGAAGGATGATGTATGGGGATACATTATTGTCTCCCTCTTTGTGGTTCCCATTCAGATGACTGCTGACAGTATTTAGCTTGTTTACTTATGGAATTTTAAAAAGGCATTGAATTTAGAACACTATATTAGTTCATTGTCAGGATGTTCTATTTCGTTGACAAGCAGAATTTAGAAAATATTCGGATGCCTAATAACTTATTGTTCTTCAAATCTATTTTCTTCTATTGAAAAAAATATTATGAAGACTGTTGATCATACCTGTTGCTCTGATTATATGTATATCCCTTACGATATAAAGTAGGAAGAGATTAAATTCAAATGTGGAAGGTAGTTTTAGGAAACAGATTAATTTGCTTATTCATTTGTTTCTTGATTCGTTCATTCACTTCATTCATTCATTTATTCACTCACCAACTAATCAATGGATATTTGTTCAGCTTTTAACAAGTGGTAGGCATTTTATTGAATGCTTAGGATAAAAGTAAAAACACACATGGTTTTTGCCCTCAAGGAGTTTATGGTTTATTGTAAAAACAAAACAAAACAAAAAAACAGAACAAAAAACAACACATAATTACAATGTAATGATATTTGCCATAATTCATCCAATGAACAAATATTTTTTGAGTCCCTACCATGAGCTAAGCACAGTCCTAGGAATCAGGATATGATGAGAAAGTCTCTGTCTTCTTAGAGCTCAGGAGACCTCATCTCCTGTCACATGTCCCCTTGTCCACTTTGGTATGGCCACATTGGGCATTATTGGTCTGACCTCTTTCAGTTGCAAATGACAAATTTAAATCAAGCTGTTAAGCAAGAGAGGGTGATTCCTGCCTCACCTAATTGATGAGTCCAAGCTCTGAGGCTCAAATAATTCTATAGGGGCTGTGTCTCTGTCTCCGTGTCTCACCAGTTTTTTCCTTTCTTTCTCCCATTACTTTCTCCCACAGTAGGAAATCTGCAAGGATTCTTACTGCTCTTTTGGAGTTTACAAGCTCACTCTTTAGTTCAATTTCTAGGTCAGTTAGCAGGAGTAACCACGCTTGAGGCAATGACCTGAACTTATTTGGTCACAAAACCTCACCTGAACTGGTTTGTTCAGATTATTTACATTTTTTTTTTTCTGTAGAAATGTTAATTAGGGTGATGTTCCAGAATGTGCTGGAGTGTTACTTAATATATATTCTAAGCATTGTATTATCCTTGTACAATCTGTAAAATTCTGAGTTCAGATTCATATCTTGCTCTAGTGGAATCATAGAGGGGATTGTGAGCCTATATAATTAAGTTTTTTATATTCATCCATCAGTTGAATCTAAAAATGGGGAAAAACATTCCAGTATTTGAAATATTTGCTATAAAACAAACATAAAGTGTTTCATAGGTTAAGACATGCAATCGTGTATATCTTCAAAGCAGTGTCACTAAAAGTAGAAATACAATTAATGAAAGTTGGAAGTGGGGAGGGCAATGGAGCAAGATATTTTTCTTCCTAAATATTTTAATATGCTTTTGCCTTTTCCTGAAGAAGATTCACTTCCTGTGCTAAGAAATCCATTACTTAAAATTCTTTTCCTTTTGAAGCACTCCTTTCCATGGCTTCAAGATCTGTTCCAGCCTGACTTTCAGGATCTGCTGGATGGCTGTCTTCTGGAATTTCCTTGCATTTTGCTGCCTTATTTGGGCCGTGGTTTCTTATAATCTCATATTCTCCTCACTCTTGAATTTCATTTGTTGTTGCTGTTATTCTTGGAGTACATTTTCAAGTAATTCTTTCAAATCTGTACAAATCTGTAGATGGTGGATTTGGGGAGTCTGAATGTCTGA